TTATATTGTGCGATATGTCCAGATGAATTCAATAAGGTGAACAGGTGCAAGACGACACATCAGATTTGGAAAACCTTGGAGGTATCACATGAAGGGACAACTGAGGTAAAAGAGTCTAGGATATATCAATTGGTGCATGAATATCAAATGTTCAAAATGCACCCAGGTGAGTCTATCTCTGATATGTATGTGCGGTTTAACTTAATAGTAAGTAGACTTAGTGCGTTAGGAAAAATTTATGATAATGCTGAACTGGTCAGGAAAATTCTTTGGTGTCTACCCAAAGAATGGATGCCTAAGAAAACTGCCATAGAAGAGGCCAAAAATCTATCTACTCTCAGTATTGAAAATTTGATAGGATCTCTAATTAGTCATGAAATTGCCTTAAAAGCTCAAGGTGATGAGAATAATGACAAGAAAAATAGGAATTTAGCATTTAAGGCTTGTGAGAAGAAAGTCTCAAATGATGAAGGATCAGGAGATGATTTCGATCAAGTATTTGCTCTCATTTCAAAAAATTTCAAAAGTTTTTAAAGTTAGAAAGAAAACAGGGTAGGGGTAGTTCTTTCTATTTTCGTGAGAATAATAGAAATGGTAAGGTAAAATCCTTTGATAATCAAAAGAAGAAAAATAAAGTGGAAAGTGAGTGTGAAGATCAAGGTTTACCAAAATGCTACAAATGTGGAAAGAGTGGTCATGTAAGGGCTGAATGTCCCAACAAAGGACAAAGTAGAGAAAAGGCTTATGCAGTGGCTTGGAGTGGATCAGAAGACGAAAGTGAAGATAACGAAAGTGAAATACAAGGCTATATGGCGTTTGCCAATCGTGATGATGGATCCTCTTCATCAAGATCACATGAAGATGAGGTATGTTCATCCTTTCCTACTTATGATAGTGATTGTGGCTCAAACCTTTGTAGTAGTATAGTTGAAGCGTAAGAAGAAATGCAAAATCATTTCGAAAAACTAAAAGATAGATACTATAAGGTAAAAGAGGATTTGAAACTAAGCAAGAATGAAATTAAGGAATTAAAAGAGGATATTGCAATATTACGTGACGAAAATCAAGTTCTGAAGAAATCAAAGGGTAAACTCAAGAATAATAGATCTCTTGAGGAACTAGAAGATATGAGAGCCAGAAATAATGAACTGGAAAAAATGATAATAGACTCTAGGACTAAACTTCTTGAAGCAAATATCAAAATAGAACGATTAGAAGACAAGGAAAAGAAGTCTAAAGAAAAAGTGCAAAAACCTCATAATAAATCAATTGTATGTACTGACTGTAAGGCTCACAGTGGAGACTATGACAAAATTAGGTGCATGAATTGTGGAAAGAGTCACCATAGTAAAGAATGCAAGAAAAATGTGAGATGTAGTAAATGTACTAGAAAAGGACACACTAAACAAGAATGTCATTCAAGAATTGTATGTTATTGCTGCCATAAACAAGGACACATTAGGAGAAATTGCTACTACAATAACCTTTATAGCTCACACCAATCGTATCCCAAGAAAAAGGTACCCAAGCAAGTCTGGGTACCAAAATCAACACTTTGAATATCTTGCAGGTCATTAAGAGAGCAGGAGCAAATGAATGGTATCTAGATAGCGGATGCTCTCATCATATGACGGGAAACAAGAGTCTCTTTTCAGAATTGACTCTTAAAAAGGGAGGTAAAGTAACCTTTGGTGATAATGGTAAAGGTAGAATACTTGGAGTTGGTACAATTGGAGAGCCTCCAAATCCTACCTTCACTCAAGTGTTATTCATTGATAGTCTTAAGCACAACCTGTTATCTATTAGTCAATTATGTGGTACAACTAATAGAGTTGTGTTTCAACTTGAGGCATGCCTTATTGAGAGGATCAAAGACAATAAGCTATTATTCCTAGGAGTTAGGAAAAATAATGTCTATGTCATTGATCTTAGTAAAAAGGCTTCATTCAATGAAACCTGCTTTCTCTCTATAGATAAGAATAAGCAATTTCAATGGCATCGAAGACTAGGACATGTCAGCATAAAGAGATTGGCTAAATCAGCTAAATTGGGTCTAGTAGATGGTCTTCCTCAATTAAAAGAATCAAAGGATTTCTTTTGTGATGCATGTATACTAGGAAAACAAACTCGAGCATCCTTCAAGAGTATATCTCACTTTACTACTTCTAAACCTTTAGAGCTTCTACATTTAGATCTGTTTGGGCCTACTAATGTGATGAGCTTTGGCGGAAAGTATTATGCCTTTGTCATAGTAGATGATTTTTCTAGATATACATGGGTAATCTTTTTGACTCACAAGGATGAACCTCTTGAGAAATTCAAAATTCTTGTGAAAAATATTCAAAATGAGAAATCCCTTAGTGTTAAAAGCATTAGAAGCGATCATGGAGGAGAGTTTGATTCAGAGAGCTTTGGAAATTTCTGCGATCAACTAGGAATCTCCCATGAGTTTTCAGCCCCTATGACACCTCAACAAAATGGTGTGGTGGAAAGGAAAAATAGAGCTCTTATAGAGCTAGCTAGAACAATGCTTAGTGATTATAGGCTTCCTAAGTATTTTTGGGCCGAAGCAGTAGCTACCGCCTGTTATGTTCTAAATAGGACATTGATTAGGGCTATCATAGAAAAACACCTTATGAAATCTGGAAAGATCGGCGGCCAAATATTAGTTATCTTAAACCATTTGGATGTAGATGCTTTATACTTAATATTAAGGATGCACTAGGAAAATTTGACTCAAAGTCGGATGAAGGAGTACTTCTGGGATACTCTACTCGTAGTAAAGCCTATAGAGTCTTCAACAAGAGATCCTTGAAGGTCGAGGAATCAATACATGTTGTTTTGATGAAACTGACTATATCTCTGAGCATGAAAGAAAACAGGACGATGATAAAGATGATTTGGGACTAATTCGAACAACAACAACCTCAGTCACTCAAGAGGCGGAGCTTTCACATGATGAGTTATCCAAAGAGCCAAGTGCACCACCTCATATTGCCAAGGCACATCCTCCGCATCAAATCATTGGGAACGTTAATGATGGGGTCAAAACAAGATCAAGTAAGGACTTGTATCAAGGTCAGACCTCTTACTTCTCACTTCTTGCTACAGTCTATCTATCCTTGATTGAACCTAAAAACATTAAGGAAGCTTTACTTGATGAAAGTTGGCTTCTTGCTATGCAAGAAGAAATGCTCCAATTTGCTAGAGCTCAAGTATGGGATTTGGTTCCTAGACCAATAGGTAAAACTATTCTAGGACTAAAATGGGTCTATCGTAATAAAACAGACGATCAAGGGATAATTAATAGAAATAAGGCTAGATTGGTGGCTAAAGGCTATAATCAAGAAGAAGGAATAGATTATGATGAAACATTTGCTCCCGTAGCTCGTATTGAGGCAATTAGACTTTTATGTGCCTTTGCTTCCTCAATGAATTTCAAATTATATCAAATGGACGTCAAAGTGCATTTCTGAATGGAGTTCTTCATGAAGAGGTCTATGTAGAACAACCTCCTGGTTTTGAAGATCATAGGTTCCCTAACCATGTTTTCAAACTTAAAAGGCTCTCTATGGTTTAAAACAAGCTCCTCAAGCGTGGTATGAACGTCTAACTCAATTCCTAGAGAGTGAAGGGTTTGTCAGGGGTTCGGTTGACACAACTCTATTTCTAAAGAAACATAACAATGACCTTATGGTCGTCCAGATTTATGTTGATGACATAGTTTTTGGGGCTACTAATGAAGCTATGTGTGTAGAGTTTGCCTCCTCCATGCAACAAAATTTTGAAATGAGTATGATGGGTGAGCTTACCTACTTCCTAGGACTTCAAATCCAACAAACTTCAAGAGGAATTTTCATTAGCCAGACAAACTATACTCAGTCCATGTTGACCAAGTTTGATCTTAGTAGTCTTAATCCTAGTCCGACCCCAATGGCTACCAATATTCAACTAGACAAGGATGAAGGTGGTATAGATGTCGATGAACGTAAATATCGTGGGATGATAGGCTCACTTCTCTATCTCACGGCAAGTAGGCCAGACATTATGTTTAGTGTTTGTATGTGTGCTCGTTTTCAGTCAAGCCTAAGGAAAGTCATCTTAGTGCCGTTAAGCGCATCTTCCGTTACCTGAAAGGTACACCTACCTTAGGCCTATGGTATCCTAGGGAAACAAATCCTGAACTTATGGGATTTAGCGATTCAGACTTTGCAGGTAGTAGAACGGATAGAAAGAGTACCTCTGGAACCTGTCAATTTTATGGTCGATCCTTAATCTCGTGGTTTAGTAAGAAACAACACTCCGTATCTCTCTCAACCTCTGAGGCTGAGTATATTGCTACAGGAAGTTGTTGTCAACAAATTCTATGGCTAAGCACTCAACTAGCAGGACTATGGGATTATAATTCCTACCGTCCCTATTTTATGTGATAATACGAGTGCTATCAATATGTCCAAAATCCGGCTCCAACACTCTAGAACAAAACATATAGAGATTAAATATCACTTTCTTAGAGAGCTAGTTCAGAGTAAAACCGTGTCTATTTCCTTCATACCTACGAGTGAACAACTAGCGGATATTTTCACTAAACCAGTACCTATAGATCAATTTTTATTTATTCGCAGTGAGTTAGGAATGATTTTCCAATCCGATCTTGCTAATTTTGGATCGTGATCTTACCTGTCTTGATCCTTTACTCTCTTTTCTATATAAGTAAATCAATAAATATTTAAAAAAAAGGAAACACAATCGCACAGTAACACAGTAATAATAAATAATAATAATAATAATTAAAAAAAAGAAAAAAAGAAAATCCAAAACGGCACCTTCCCTGCTGCGCAGCAACTTCGCTTTTCCCAGCAAATAATATCGCTGATTCTTCCTTTCCCTTTCGCAGCGACGACTTCGCTTTCTTCCCTGATTTCCGATCAAAAACCGAATCAGCTAAATCATGTCGTTTCTTGCCAATCGATCTCATCATTTTCCTCTGTAATTCTAGACCTTCTTTCCCCCCGATAATTCCCTCTCAACTTCCTTTCCCGCTCATCGATTCTATCCATTTTTTGTCTCTCTTTTCCCGCTCGTCGATTCTGAATCAACAGATTTTTGCTGAGAAGCCAATTCTGCCAATCTGTACCTTGGATCCCTATGCTTTCGCCTTTGTCGACTCTGTGGATCCTATCACCCTCATCGACAACCTAGGCTGGCTTCCTATGGGTGATTCCCATCCTCGCAGCTACTGCCAGCTGCTGTTCGTGCCTTCTATTCTAATCTTCGGACCGATGGGATCACAACTGGCAAACTCTCCACCCTGGTATATGGTCACTTTCTCACTCTTTCGGTCGATGACCTTGCTGCATTTCTTGTTCTGCCTACTAGAGGCAAGCAGCTCATTTCCCCTTTGGAGTTCTGGTCATACAAGTTTGAATGCGTCGGGAGGTCACTAATCGCTCCTTTGACTCGCTGGATGATTCACTCAAGCTTCTCCACTACTACATCACCCGAGTGTACTTTCCGCGGGCTGACCGCTTGGATGTTGTTTTGCCTCTTGATTGCTGGGTCATGTCTCACGCCATCTCTGATATGTCGTTGAGCTATCCTCATTTGCTGTTTGGGGCAATTGTGGATGCCTCTGCCAACGATTCTCCCGGTGTTGGTCTTCCCTTTGCTGGGTTGATTACGTTGCTGCTGCATCGTCTCGGTGTTCCTCTGGCTGACTTTGTCACTATTTCTGACGGTTGTGTTCATCCCTCCATTGACGAAGTGCTTGCTGTGGTGGGACTTCCTCCCATTGTTGATTTATCATCAGGGGGAGCTGATCATGGGGCCACGGATGCTGCTATTAGAGAAAGAGACGAAGAGGACGAGGCGTCCGCGGATGGTGGTGCTCTGCTTCGGCTTCTGTTCGTCCCTTCAAGCTCAAGCGACAGGCTAAAGGACCTCGTCCTTCTAACAGAGCTCTCAAGCGTCTCAATAATCAAAAAACTTCTCAAGGAGTGGTTCTCTATGAGAATCATGATCTCGAGCAAAACAATTAAAAGCCTTAATTTAGGGGGAGCTTAGGTTTAGGGGGAGCTTGGGTTTCGAGTTGTTGTTGTTGCTGTTTTTAAATGGCTTATTTGAATTGTTGCTTTTTGCGCTGTTGAGTGTTTTGATTGAATAATGCCCTGAGCTATACTCAGGATGAATGAAGTAATTTGTTTTCTTAATAATGACTGCCATTCTTTAATCTTGAGCTTTATGAAGCATATGCAGTAACAGGATGCTAAATCAAGCTTAAGGGGAGAATGTTGAGTCAACAAGCTTGATTAAGCAAATTGAATACCATGGGACATTTTGTTTTTGAATATATGTTATTATGTGGAACTAACAATCTATGCAGAAATATCACAATCAATGATGAGGAAAAAGGAAACAATTCAAAGTGATTGCTTGCCCTCAAAGGAGTTACCATATCAAGCAATAAGGGAATCAAATCAAGGAGATACTTGCCGCATAAAGGACTACAATAAAAGGAAATGAAGGCTCACATCAACTATAAATAGAAGAGTCATTTGCAGGACAAGATACCTTTTGCAAAAGTTCTCTCTCCCTTGTAATAGCGAAATTGTGTGATCATATTTCGTGGTGTGAATAGCTTGATATCTCGGGGGTTGAGATATTCAAGCTAGGTCGGGTTTTAGGGTAGAAGGGTATTTGTAATTGGGACTAGTGCAAGAGCAAGAGGGGATTCTTGCTTGGGAGTTGCACTAGGTGGATTGCTCTTCAATCAAGTCAAACTAAGAGTGTTGCCTTGATTGATTGAGTGGGTAGCTTAGCTTGGATTTAGCTAAGGGTTTGAATAGGTGTGGAGTTGCACCTATTTGGTTCTTGACACGAAGTGTCAAGTTGTTTCAATTTCATAGGTTAAGAGTCTTTTATTTTAATAAAGTTAGAGTCTCTCGTGAGATAGTGGTAACTATCTCCGGGACGTGGATGTAAAGCCATATTGGCCAAACCACGTTAAAATCGCGTGTCCCGACTCATCTCTCTCTATACCTCCTCTAACTTTGTTCTATTCATCAGTGCCTACAAATTAATCACTTCAGGAGAGATCCTTGGCAAGTCCCTTTTGGATTGCTCAATCAAGCTAGTGCTAATCTCTCACTATTGAAATCTGAATTAATTTGTGCATTGATCACGTCAAAAGTATCCTTTATTGACC